TGTATAGTTTACTTTTGTTTAATAAAGCGCACATAACTAGCCTGACAGCGGGTTAAAAAAAAAAAAAAAAAAAACAAAGAGCAAAATGGTTTGAGTGGATCAAAAAACATTTAAATAATAATTAAACCAAAAATTTTTTTATTGATAAAACTACATTTTGATTTTTTTATAATATTATTAGATAGTAGTATAAAAGAAAGAAATCAATTTGTAGGATCCTTAAAAATATATATATATATACAGTATTTGTATGATGGGGATTTTCTAAGAAAGGTAAGGTTAATTTAATATGTTTCAAGAAAATAATTAATATGGAATTCTATATTAATATATTAAAAAAAAGAATAACAAAGATTAAGATTTTAATAGTAAAGGAGTAATGACTTTAATAAGATAATAATTCCAAATGTATAAGCTCTTTGATGAAGTCATACCTTAAATCATATGTTCTTAAAGTTTTTGAATAGCTATTTAATAGTCCAGATTTAAATCTGATCAAAAACTTATAAAATATAGTAAACATAAATGTGAAAAAAAGAGTATTACAAAATTTAAATGAATTAGAATCATTTATGAATTAAAAATGGGATGTAATTTTGAAAACTACATTAATAATTATGATTAAATTTATGTGAAACAGGTGTAAACTAGTAATAGAGAATAATGATGACCCTCTTGATTATTAAAAAATTTTTTTAAAATATATATACTATATAGATTTATATTTTTTAAATAAGTAATTGTTAACTGAATTGATACAATTATTGTAAAGTTTAATAATAATGAACTTTTCCAAAAAGTTATAACTCCCTTTGAAATATAAAAAACTCTTTTTTCTAATTCTTTGACTGTAAATTCCAATTAAAGATATACTGTACTGGATATAATTTGATTGGTCATTACTTTTTAAAAAAATAGTATAAAATATTAATATGATATATTATATTTAAAATTGACAATAAGCAAAATAAATTGATAATACTATAATAATATTATTGATGTTAATGTAATGATGAGATAAAAAATCAAAATATTTCTTCAACCTAAAATGCCGAAGTTCATAAGTTCATTAATTATTAAGATCGAACAATAAAACATGTGACTATCAATAATCACCTGTCAGATGACCATGTGATTAAGTACGCACGAGTGGTGATCCACTCATGGTTTCATTTTTCTGAATCATACAGAAGCTTAGGAATTTGAGTGTCAGAATAAAATAAAGTTCGTAAGTAGTAATAAGGATTTTTACAACAAACATCGGGATGAACGATTTTATGTAAAATAATTAATTATGAGGTTTGATATCATTCATGCAAAGAAAGCTCTTAACTTGCTAATAACTATACTGAGGAATGGCTCCGCCACTCCCACCGGAAACTCTAAAAGAGGTGCTCGAGTATTTACAAGATGATCTGGGCTCATTACATTCATGTATATTGGTTAACAAGCAATGGGCTCGAGTTTCGGTGGAAATTTTATGGAGGGACACCACGAAATTTCGAAATCGACCTTTCTATTATCGAAAAGGGCGAAAGATCCTATCCACCTTAATTTCATGTCTTCCAAGTGATTCGAAGGAGTTGCTGAGAAAACATGGGATAACCATAGTCTCGTCGAGATCACGGCCGCCATTATTTGATTATGTAGGGATGTGTAGGTTTCTGGCAGTTACGAGTTTTCACAACATAGTCACCACATATTATGATCGGGCGAGTTATCGAAGAGTTTGTAGTAGGGATCATAATCATTACAACGTACGTACCGACGAATACTCCAAGTATTTGATCAAGCAGGAACTTTTTAAGATGTTTATGAGCCGATGTCGATCTCTGAAGCGACTCGAGTATCGGGACGAGGTTGTATTACTGCCATTCTTACCTCATGCCGAAGTATGTTTTTCAAATATTTCGGAATTACACTGTTCAAGCCGAATGCCGTGCTCGGTATTTTACAGAATGGCACAAATATGCAGGAATCTTGAAAAGTTGACAATCGATGAATTACGATCTGATAACGATGGGTTGGCAACATTGATCAATGTTCAGCACAATTTGAAGTCGGTCGGAGTGTTCACCAATGTCCATCACATCTTCTACGGGAAAGTTGCGAACGCGATTTCAAGTAAGGCGAGCACTTTGAGAAATTTCAGTTACGGAGGGGGTAGCGCGGTTTCATTTCCTCTCATCAACATAGCGGCATTGGTTAATCTGGAGACCTTGAGCGTTAAGCTTTATGAAGATGTCAACGATATATTCTTATATACTACGTTTTCGAACTTGAAGTTATTGGAGATGCAGGGACCGATACAGTCCGTGGATGCATTAACAAAATTCATTGAAAGGTGTACAAAAATTCGTGGAATCTTTGATAATCGTGAACTGCAAGGCGGAGTACTCGAAAAGATTTGTTTTGACCTAGCACACATTAAGAAACCTTTTAGCACTGTACCGGAATATAATTCCACTGTGGCAAAGTGTTGCCCGAATTTACGATTTTTCTCGACATGGTTTCATAAACTGAATGCAAAAGAATTTAAGGAAGTGTTCAAGTCGTGCAGGAAGTTGCAACATTTAACAGTTAGCAGTTATAGATATGAGAAGTTAAGTTATGATGACAGCTACGATCCTTGCATTAACGAGCTAATCGAATGTTTAAAGGAGTCAGAGGATGAACTGGATGAAAATAAGGGAGCTGCTGAGGAAAGTTTCAATAATCGAATCTTGGACTCCGCAAATGCAGCATCGCTGTCATCACAGAAACGGAATAGAATAAACTTAAGTCTGGACACGATCGAATTTTGTTATATATGGAAGTTAGATTCGCTCAGTGAATTTGAAAGTTATTTGAGGACACGAAAAGAAATAGGGCGACCGATGAACATATATTTTACCAGCGAGTGTGTGAATCACTTTGGAGTGGATTTGGAAGATTATTTGCTGGTGAAATTCAGGAAATACAAAGAGGAGAGGATAGTGAACCGATATGGAATCAAGAATTATAAAAGGTTTCCCAGAAATTTTGAATTAATCAGAAGAGAAGGTCATTGATCCTTTTACATCTTCACAGCAATGCACGCCACGAAAAATTCGACATGTAAATTTGTGAGATTTATTATTTTTATATATTATTAATATTATTTAAGATAATGCCAGACACGATTCATTATCGCCGTCAATAAAAGAACATTCACTTTTTATTGCAAATCGATCTCTTCGTTTTCCTTGAGAGATGGAATGTTTTTCCATTGGGTTTTAGAACTAGACATCTCGTCGCTAAAAATTTAGACATCACCTATTCCTCTTCCGTGTTAATGTTAGCATTACGAGTGCAGCCACTTATGCTCTTCTTGCTTTTCGTTTCCGGCATCGATGGTCAAATTTTTAAAAAACAACGGTTGAATTTTTTTTTTTTTTTTTTTTTTGATGAAATTTATCATATGATACAAATAACACGCCACATCTGCATTTGTAATCGTCGAGTCAGTTAATCCAAGCCTTCGTAAGCTAGCATGGATAAAATGTTTTCACACCTAATCTGTATTTCTACGAAAGTTCGCGTGTCTTCGTTCGGTTACCGGCCCCCGACTTGGGAGCTCAATGAGTGATGGGTAATTTGGAGGTTCTTTGGAAGGCAAACCATCTTCTAAGAAGAGTAAATTGGTTTATCCGTTCGCGTTTTAAATATGAAATTCAATGAGGTGTCCTGTATTGAAGATCAAAACGGTCAGCTCTGGGCAAAGCTGTCCCTTTTTTCTTTAACATCAAAAGGAAAAAAATTTTTTCTATCAATCATATATCTATGCATAAAATCATTCACTGCCTCGAGAATAATTACATTGGTGTGACGACACCCACTCAGCTTTGGACAACTGAATTCTCAAGAATTCGTCCATTTAATACACAAAGTCGTCATATTATCATTCCATGTGAATGAAAGAGTACTTGGTGAAGAGATGACATACGACATAAAGAATTGATGAAGTTGGGACCTGACGATTTCTTTCCTTGTCTGAATTTCTACAGACCATTTCCAAGACTTCCCAACAAACCAGTGAATCCTTGTCTTCCGCATGACAAATAGGCGACGATGTGCGATTTTCTACTGACATACACGCTCACGACAACTCGCACTAGTCGAAGGATCGATATCAAAGAAAGAAAGACACATAGACACTATTCACCTTGGAAATATCTTTATATAAAATTTATATTTGTTACATCCGACCAGTTTAAATACCTTTTTCACGAGCTCTGGTTGTTTTCATACCATTCGATTTGCCTCACCTAGACGAATCAACCACTGGATCACAAGATACCATCGATTTTTTAATAACATTGCACTAGCCACACCCTTGCACCACTCCCCGTTAACATTTGGTAAACAGGCTTTTGAAAATTGATTTTCCCTTTTCAAGATTTTGCAACCTGATCCTTTCGTCATTTAAGTGTGCTTGATCCGACGACTATGCATCATCCATGCGTGTTATTGTCGAGATGGAATAGAATGAATGAATGAAAATGAGAAATTCGTTGGAGTTTTGTTTTTTTTTTTCTCTTTTTCGAAATTACATACTTGACCCATCGGTAAGTGCACCGTGACGGCATTAAACCTCTTTTCTAACCATCTGGCAGCGGGAATTGACCCGCCTTCTCTTATATATAATGGT